TACAGAAAGAAAAATGCCAAGGAAAGAGAAATGGAGGGGAAAAACAAGAAGAGAGGTCTAAAAACAATACGGCCCAGAGTCCTTGGGCCCCTCTATGGTGCAGAGGTCAAGCATCTATTCGGATCCAGCTAAGCCACTGGATCCAATATTACCTTAAGCATGGGACCCAAACCACAACAACTTAACTTACATAATATCTCCTGGGACCAGAGAAATTCTACAGCAGGTAGGGCTTTTGTCTTACTCGCAGCTGACCAGGGTTAGATCCTTGGCATTCCCTATGATACCCCAAGACTTGCCAATAGTGATCCTGAGCACAGGGCCAGGAGTAATCCCTGAGCGTTGCCGGGTGTGGTTCCAAAGCCAATTCAAGAAAATTGTATCTTTCAAGGAGTCAGGCTGGGGGGTGGGAAGGAACCTGAGATAAGCGGTGAAGGAATGGGGGAAGTGGGAGGCAGGGCTGGAGGTGGGAACAAAAGACGCCTGGAAACCCACTGCAATCGACCCTGAAAATCCTGAGTCTAAAGAAAAGTAAGCAGAACTCTGCGCAGGCTCTGCATGTTCGAGCCCCAGCACCGCAAGGTCCCCCGTACCACAGGCAGCGACTTCCAGGAGCGAAGTCAGGAGCGAACACGGCAAAAAACTGGGTGGAATGGCGGGGGCGCAGCTCGTGGAGGGAACACTCCGTGCGGGCGGGAGCGGCAGCCCGGCCGGTCTCTCGGCCCGCGGGCGAGGAGGTCCGGCGTCCCGCCCAGGGTCCTCGACCTTGCTCAGAGCGGGTCTCCGACGTGAAGGGCTCGGGTTGACCTCCGCAGGGCCCCGGGGTTGGGGGCGCCTGGCCTTTCCGGGAGAGGCTCCTGTGAGAGGCTGGGGGCGCCTGCGGCTGACAGCACCGGCGGCACTTGGGGCGCTGCGGGCGCCTCAGCGTAGCTCCTCGGCTTCCCCCCGGCGGTCTCGAAGTCGCGGAGCTTCGGGGGCGTCGCCCGAGGAGGCTGCCGGCCCGGCCCGCGTCCACGCCGGGTGAGCGGCCCTGGTTTTCCTGGAGACTGAGGGGGTTGGGTCCGCCGAGGGCGAGGCCCCGGAGTCTCGGGCAGGAACCGAAGCCTGGAGCTTGGAGCTCCCGGGCGTTTCGCGAAGCCAAGCCCCTGCCCGCCGGCCGGGCCGATCTCTTGCCCTCCTGGCGCAGCAGCGGAGGCTCCGGGCTCTGGGCGGCGGCTCGCAAAGCCCAGGCAGAGCCAGTGCTCGGCCACTGGGCGCTCTGGGAGGGCGAGCCGGGCGGAGGGATTCGGAGCCCGCCCGTCAGTCGTCTCCGGGCTCTCCCGGCCGCCCCCCGGAAGTGCCGCCCCTCCCGCGGAGAGGCAGAGCCGGCCTGCCTCTGCGTGTCTGTCGCGAAGCCTGCAGGTTGTTGTTGATCCCTGTGGCCCGTGTTTGGTTCCTGGCGCTCCGAGGGTTCCTTGAGCCTTCCAGAAGTGATCTCTTAGTAAGGTCCGAGTGCCCCTGGGTATATCATCAAAACCCAAAAGATAATGTTTTTACCATTGAAGTTTGCTGTTTAAAGACTTATTTTGGAGTTATTCTGATGATGGGGTTGCTGTTATGCAATTATTAATCTGACTTGCAATCCTTTTGTAGTGTTTATTACCTTTCTAGATTCGTTGTTTGCTTACAGAGCCATTCATTTGAATGGCGCAGCCTGCTGTTGTGTACCATTATTATTCATTACTATGTTATGTACTATATTATGAATGCCATGCTCTGCAAGTAGAAGCACCACACTTTAGTTATGTGGAGTACTGCTATGTTGATCACACTAGGCACAGCTGTCTTTTTTTGCTCTTATTCACACAGATACACAGTGACTACTATGTTTCATGTACACTGCTCTCTACTGCATCAATTGGGCCATTTTATCTTCAGTTCTGATGTCACTGAATTCTTTTCCAATATTCTTGCCTGCCCAATTTTATCACCCTCCCCACTGGTCACCTTTGACTTTGTTTATACCTTAAATCTCCTGTACACAATACTACTACAAATATTCCTTTTGACTTTCACAAGTGATCATGTGTGAGCCATGTGGGGAACCAAGCTGGATCTCAGTGGTTGATTGTTCTGAGAAGGTTTATTTCCCCCTTCTTTTAGTGTTAGTGTTTTGATTGATGCTCAGTGATGTGGTGGCTATTCCTTGTGATATTTTTCCAGCTTGATGGAAAGTTAAGTCCTTGCTTGGGAAGGTGGGTTGAATACTACTCAGGCCCAGTGGGTTTTTTTTTTTTGTCTACTAGACCCACATCTGGATCTGCTGGCGTGGGCACAGGATGTTTTAGGGATTGATTATTGATTTCTGTATGTGTGACACATCTACTCCTGTCCTGAGGCATTTTAACAGCTATGAAAACAGATTTTCCCATAGGGGCCTTCCTGGGATGTACCATCTGTATGTCTTGGTAGTGAATCCTCTGAATAGCTCAGGTGAACAAGTACATTATCAAGTAAACTTTAACAGAACACTGACCATTTGTAGGATTTCCACATGTATTGCTCATGTGCAGGATTTGTGATTTGTGATGGATTGCCACTTTCACATACATGTGTAGTGAGTCTCCAGGTCATGCTTCTGATTGGGCTGTTTTTCAAGTTTGCTTGCTCACATAGATTTCCCACATTTGATTATGCACAGTGGCATGGTTTTTAAAAATTTTTGATTTTTTGGACACACCTGGCAATGCTCAGGGCTTACTCCTGGTGCTGTGCTCAGGGATCATCCCTGGCAGTGCTCAAAGAAACATATGGGATGCTGGAAATTGAATCCAGATCAGCAGTGTGCAAGTCAAGCACCTTACCTGCTGTACTCTCTCTGGTCCCTGGCATGATTGATTTTGTTTCCATGCAGCATCATAGTGCTGTGTGCATCGTTAAAGTAGAGCTTCTCATATCCTCTCTACCACTTACTTAATCACTTAACTTCCCGTTAGTCGTCGATTTGCTCGAGGCGGGCGCCAGTAACGTCTCCATTTGTCCCTGTCGCTTGGTAGTGTATCCTCTCTACCAGTTGCTGCAAAGCCAGTAGCGTGGAATGTCTGCTAGTGCAATACTCCTGAAGGTTAATTCTATTTAAGGGCCTCCTGAAATACTTCTGCTTTCCTTTTTACCCCAGCTTAAAAAAAAATCTGAATCGACTTGAGATATATAGTTACAAAGTTGTTCATGATTGAGTTTCAACCATTCAATATTCCAACACCCATCCTTTCACCAGTGCACAGTTCCCACCACCAATGGTCCCAGTGAAATACTTCTGCTTTCTACAGGGTGGCTTTATCACCTTCACCTCTGGCTGCGCGTGCCCACTTCTTGCCACACGGGCCAGTCACAGCCGCTAGCGCCAGCTTTATGAATGCCTGCCGAGTGGGGTGTGGCCTCCCCTACGTGCCGCCTGGGGCTGTGGCCTTGCCCGCAGGCGGCGCTTGCCTGAGATTCTGGTTTCATTCATTCCTGCTACAGCTTCACAACTGTGAGGATCTTTGTCCGGCCCAGCTTCTGGGCTGCTTCGCACGCTATTTCAGGGGAGGGGACGGCCCTGCCGCAACCCTATGACCCAGGTGGGTGGCCAGAGCGTGGGCTTGGAAGGGATAGCCGAGCGCACGCCGTGACTCAGGGTTTGTCGGTCCGCGGCCCTAGGCAGTCCGCGAAGTTTGGCTCTGGTTGTTTTCTCCATGAGGTTCCAGATTCAGGTCAGCCTGTGGCTGCTTCTCAGTCCGTCAGAGTGAGGCCCGTTTCCCCCTCAGGCTGCCACAGCCCGCTGGCCCTTGTTCACCACCAGAGCGTGGCCGGCGCTTCTCTCTCAGGTGTCCGCCTGCGCTCTTACCCCGTCGCTCTCGCTCTCCTGCGCGCTCAGGTGCTGGCCTTGGCGGCGGTCACCAGAGCCTCTGGGCGTTTTCTCCTGATCCTCCAGCCTTTCCTGTGCTGGTTGGCCCCTGCAGTGAAGCGCGGGAGCCCACTCGGCTTGCCCTGAGGCAAAGCAGGTGAATGCTTTGACCCTCAAATTATTCCAGCCAAGGGCCAGAGGGGAACTTCTTTGGGTCTGAGTACCGGCGTTTTGTTTTTTTCTTCCCTCACTGAGGTAAAATAATATTCTCTGAGAAAGATTTTGAGAGAAGTGAGTGGGGCTGGAAGGAGAGAGGCTGCCAATGTCCTAGGAAAGAGCTTGGGTTGGTGCTCGGTGCGAGCTAGGGCTTCGGAAACAGCCTCGGGGCAGAGGTAAAGGTAAAGGTAAAGGCCCTCCCATTGATCGTGGATTTGCTCAGCGGGCCCAGTAACATCTCCATTGGAGACTTTGTTGTTACTGTGTCTGGCATATGGAATACTCTCGGTAGCTTGCCGGGCTCTCCGAGGGGCGGAGGAATCGAACTCGGCATGTTGGCCGCTTGTAAGGCGAACGCCCTACCCGCTGTAGGAGCAGGAAAACATCTGCCAGCTGCTACCCCTGAGAACCGCGAGCTCTAGCCTTGCCCCACGTGCTTCTGGAAGCCCCTCCCGCCCCCGCCCCTTGTGTGTGTAAGCCCGTGTGTATGTGCGCGCGCGCATCAGCCCCTCCCGCCCCCGCCCCGTGCGGAGGTGTGTGTGTGTGTGTGTGTGTGTGTGTGTGTGTGTGTGTGGATTTCTACTGTTTTTTCTTCATTCTCCGCCGGGTGTCTGCTGAGCTTTCCCAGGGACGAAGCCGAGACACCCCGCCCCTTCAGCGTTTCCTCAGCCGCGCGCGGTGGTACCGAGTCGGATACCTTGCTCTGCTGATTGCATTTGTCAGCACCAGCAACTTTATTGGAAAGGGGGGACAGCCCCTCCCCCGCGACGACGTCGGGCACTCATGCTTCCCGCTGGCCCGAGGCAGGTCGGCGGGGTCGGGCGGGGCCGGGGCGCTGGGGTCGTGCCGGCGGGGTCCGGCGGGGTAGGGGCTCCGGGGTCGCGTCGGGGGTCGCGCCCGGCGCGGTCGGGGCGCCCGCTGCTGTCGGGGCCTGGGTTTCACCTCCCCACACCGGACAGTGGGCAGTGAGCTGAAGCCCCACTGGCTCTGGGCGCCGAATCCCGCCCATGGGCACGGGCAAGGCCACGGGTGATTTTCAAACAGCGCCTGACTCCCCCGACCGCCCCCCAGGTCTGCTCCACCTGCAGCGCCGCAGTGCTGATGCCTGACAGGGACCCATTCCAGGTCGTCTGTATGCGTGCACTCAGCCTGCGGCCGTTCCTGTGCTTAAAACCTTTCGTTCTTCTGATCAGTGTGCCGTCAGGGCATTAGAAGTGCCTGAGTTGCTCTTTCAATCATCTTTGACAGAATTACACTTGGGGTGTGAAGCGGTGACAGGAGGCCCTGCTGAATACGTACCTATAGTTGCTGTAAGCAGCAGACTCCACTGGTTTTGTCATGAACATATTGCCTCTAGGTATGTTGCACTGCTTTTTGACTTGCTCAGCATTGTTAGTCCCTTCTTGGGGTGACACTGGGTTGCTAACCACAGCAGTGTTTATGGGAGAGTGCAGAGCCAGCACTGTGCTGGGAGGTGCTTGCTTGTTCACATCGTGCCAGAAATGTGCCTTACCCAATTTTCTGTGCTCTCTCTCTTTCCCCTTAGTTGCTTTATGAATGAATAGATGGCCATCAGGAGAAATTGGCAGAACTCAAGAACTTCAGAGGCCCTTGGTTTTCCTGCTGGTTTGGTGAGCTTGCTCATCTTTGAGGTAGTGATAAAAGTCTGGAGAAGAAGACAATGTATTCCTATCTTTTCATAACATGCAGTGGTGAGTGGGAGATGTGGTATAATCCGTGTGGGTCTGTAGTTCAGTCTATGCTTCTCATGTGTGAGGTTCTGGGTCCTATCTGTAGTTGCGAGGCCAAACAGTCACATGTCTGTCTTAAGTGTGGGTTGCACTGACAATCATAAGACTCTGTTATTTCATGGCATATTTGAAATTTGCTTGAGAGGTGTAGTAGTCCATGGTATGTGATTTAAATACAGTCACAGAGTGACTTACAAGTAGATTTAAAAAAAACATTAACAGATTTTCAGAGGTTGTCTTTTCCCTGAATACTACACTTACAATTGCTGAATGTGACATTGAGCCTCAAGTTTCCTGATTCTCAGCTGATGGGCTTATTCATAGAAGTGTGGTCCATTTTAGTGGTTTTCTTTTGTATTCATTTCTTTGGGGCTGCACACTTTGTGACCTTGGGTCTGTGTCCTGGGGATCATTCAGGGAGTCCTTATGAACATGATAGTCTCCTGCTCTTTGCATCACATCCTTGGCTCTATTCAGTTTATCTTAAGCATGAGTTTTGAAAGGTCTTACCTGTTTTCTAGGTTTTCCTGATACCTCCAGAATCCAGGAAATATAGCTTCTTTTACCTTCTCCCCCTCACCTGCTTGCTACTCATCGCATGAAACCAGAGACCTGGGTGTTTCCTATTCCTTCCTGCCATAATAGTGGTCATTGTGAGTTCACAGACTGCCTGCAGCTGAGGTGCTATGCACAGGTGAGTCATCTGCATTCATACACTGGGCACTCTGGGCACACTTCTCATTTATTTGGCAAACACTATTTTTTTTGGCTTTTCTGGGTCACACCCAGCAATGCACAAGGGTTACTCCTGGCTCATGCACTCAGGAATTACTCCTAGCGGTGCTCCGGGAATGGGATGCTGGGAATCGAGCCCTATGTGCTGTACTATCGTTCCAGCCCCATACTTTTTCTTTTTTTTTAATCACTCAGAGCTGGAGACCAGCCCGAGCTGAACAGGCTTGAAGTAGGGATGCTGTGAGGATTAAGAGACAGAAATATGAGAGAAAAAGTGTGGGGTCACGGGGTTAACAGTCTGATAGACCGAAAGCCTTGACTGTCCTCCACATAGAATAGTTATTGTTTAGAACCAGTGACCATCAGAAGGAGTTCAGCATTCATAGGTTAAATACCTAGTATATTAACCTCTCCAGGCTAGAGTTTTGCACATGTCTGGGCTTTAGTATTTCCAGACAAACATCTATGTAATAGACTTTCTCAAGGGGGAAATTCTTCTAGGAGAGGAACATGTTGAGGCAGCATTCTGGGTTTAAAAGTCCCATAAAGTACTCATCCTATCTGTCTCTTTTATCTAGTCCCCAAAAACATAGAATTTTTTTTCATTCCACACACTATTTTTAGTGTTTTTTTCCCTGTTGTTCTAGACTTCAGTTTCTTATTTTCTAGTCATCAGATTCTTTCTTTCTTCTTCCTTTCTTCCCTCCCTCCCCTCCCTCCCTCCCTCCCTCCCTCCCTCCCTTCCTTCTTTCCTGTTTTTGGGCCACACCTGGCAAGACTCAGGGTTTAGTCCTGGTTCTGTGCTCAGGAATCATTCATGGTGGTTCTTGGGGGTACCACATCGAATGCTGGGGATCAAACCTGGGTCAGCCTTATGCAAGGCAAACACCCTATCCGCTGTAATATCTCTCCAGCCTTCTGAAGTGTTTCTTACTGTCAGCAACATATGTGCCTGAGATCTATTTTGGGTGATTTCATTTTCATGTATTTTGGGTGATTGCATTCGTATTACCCACCGCGAATCAGGGGAAGGGTGTATATACTCAGGAAATGGATATTAGTATTAAGATTTTTATCCTTAAAAATTTTCTGAAGGAAAATTGTAAGAGTTTCAAATTTGTATGTTTCTTGCCCTCATTAATTTCCTGTCCCTCCCTAAGCCAAACACTCTCCTTTCAGATTACAAATGTGTGTGCGAAGTTACCATGTGAATGTTTTTTGAGAAATTTGATTGCCTACTGGTCACCTCTAAGAATAAAATTTTTTCCTGCTTTGGTTCTTCTTTTTTGGTCCAGGGAATTGAACCAAGGTCTCCCTTCCTTCCCTCCTCCCATATGTAAGGCACTGGCATTTATGCAGAGCCACTATCAGTGATTCATCCTCTTTTTCCTTCAGAATCAGGGTCTAATAGGGCAAGACATAGAGTGCAGGGAGATTACGGCATTTTAATTTTTTTTATTATGTAGGAGTACTGCTATTTATTCAGCCACTGATTAGGCTGATTGAATTGTGCATGAACTCCACCTTACTTTTTCCCCATTTTTTAAAAAAATTTTACTTATTGAATCACCATGAGAGCAGTTACAAAGCTTTCGGGTTTAAGTCTCGGTCATGTAATGAAACACCCGTATCTTCACCAGTGCCCATTCTCCACCACCAAAATTCCCAGTATACCCCATCCCACACCTTCCCCATACCTGTGGGCAGATGATTTCCAAATTACTCTGTCTATACTTTGATTACATTCAACATTTCAACACCACACCACCATTATTATTTGGGATTTTACCCCAACACTCAGATCTGCCGAAAAGGCAACAGTAGACAATTTGTTTTCTATTGCTGGTTATGAATAACGTATGATGTCGTGTGACTGCAGTAGTGGCTGTGTGATTTTGAAATTCTGAAATTTTAACACTTAAATTTGGAGGGATTTCTTGCCAAAACCTGCTGGGTTTTGAGATTTGTTCTTGAGTCTCTGGGATCATGGCCATTAAGCAGCTTGATCAGGAGCCAGAAAGGTGGTCTCATTGGGGTGGGGAAGAAAGGGCTGGCTCCACCCCCAACCTGTGAGGCCCTGCGTGTCTCGTCACTGTGGACCCAAACCTGACTGTCCAATGGCCCCTTGAGATGGCGGCCACCGAACCACCAAGGAGGAGCAGGTGGAGGGAGCACCCTTTTACCCTCTGGGGTGACCCGACGACAGTAACCTGCATGGTCAGGACGCACTTATGCCAAAAGTGCTGGGTTTTGAGATTTGTTTCTGAGTCTCTGGGATCATGGCCATTAAGTAGCTTGATCAGGAGCAAGAGAGGCCGTTTGTGGATGGCGACTCGGGGTCTCCTTGGGATAGGGAGGAAAGGGCCAGCTCCACTACCATCCCGTGAGGCCCCATGTGTCTCATCACTGAGGGCCCAAACCTGACTGTCAAGTGGCCTCTGGAGGATGGCAGCCACCAGGCCGCCAGGGGGAACAGGCCAAGGCACTAAACTTATTCCCACCAGGGGTAACCCAGCGCTGGTAGCCTACTGCAGGGACTGGACACATTTCTGCCAAAAGCCGTTGCATTTTGAGATTTGTTTCTGAGTCTCTGGGATCATGGCTGTTAAGCAATTCAATTGGGAACCAGAGAGGCCATGCCTCCAATTATATAGCTGAGCTGGAGGTGGTTTGTGGGTGTGTCTCCCACATACCTAACTTTTGTCCATTTACTTTCTTGGTCAAGTTTGCCCCAAGTTTTTGGGGTCTGGCCAAAAGCACAGCAGCAATTTTGGGGTATCTGGAAGTCTGAAGGCGCCATGAGGTTGCTGATGCACTTGCCTCACAGGTACAGATTGACCTGCTGGCAGCACCATACCCCCAGCATTTGAATTTTTTCTTTTTTTTTTTTACAATGCTCAAATACCCATCCCTCCACCAGTGCCCATTTCCCGCCACCACAGATCCCAGTATCCCTTCCCCCTATCCCCCCCCAATCCTACCCTCCCTCGGTGGCTGGGCATATCCTTTTGTTCTCTCTCTCCTTTTGGCTGTTGTGGTTTGCAAAAGAGGCATTGAGTGGCAATCATGTTTGGTCTATAGTTAAGGTTCATTAATTTTGTATTGATGGAAGGAAGTTAATACTGGTGATGGAATTGGTGTTGTAATATTGTATAACTAAGACTCAGTTATCAATAACTTTGGAAATCTCTGTTCTTTATTTAAGACTTCATTCCTTTTTTACTATCCTAAACAGAATAACTATATTCTTCCTAAATCCATTTGTCAAATGAATTTATCATTTAAATGGATATCATCTAAATCCATTTATCAATTGGAATGTTCCTCATTTGGGCTAGTATAAATAATGCTTCATTTGCACTGGTATACATGTTTATGTATGGATATTGTTTGTATTTATCTTGATCATATAATTTGGAATTTCTGGGTTGTAAAATAGTTCTATTTAATTTCTTAAAAAATTGATAGACTGCTTTGCAAAGTAACTATCATTTTACATTCCCAGTGGGGTGTTCTAGTTTCCCCAAAATCTTTTTTTTTCTTTTTTTTCTTTTTTTAT